TTTTTTTTTGTTACTAATGATAGATAGAAATGCATTCTTGGGGTTATTTGAGAGATAGATGTCATCACTTAGGCCGTAATATGAATAAAGAATTATCTAGACTTATTACAGAAAATGATCAAACCTCTGAATATAACGAAGAAATAAAAAATTCTGAATTAAAAATCAAAGGAAGAATTGTTCTTGATGTTTGGAGATTACTGCGACATGAAGTTAAACAATTTTGTTARAGTTTTGAAACATATTTTAAGTAACTTTTATGTTTTAGTTGGCAGTTCAAAGTTATACATTTGAAAATATGGTATACCTTATACTACATCAAAGAGTACCCTGTTATTCTTATCAAACACTCTCATTTTGGTGGGATCATAATACTTTTTTATACAGGTAATAATAGATATATACCTCTTGAAAGTTGAACTAAATTAAACTATATAATAAATATAACAATACAATTACTATTATTATTTTTATATTTATAATATAATATATATATATATATTAAAACTTAATATTTCAGAATGTCATATCAAAATAAACAATCCATAGTTAAAAATATTTTAGAAAAGAATAGCAATGCATTACGCTGTAATACAAGTCGAATACTACTTAATTTGGTACTTTTCGGTTATCATACTCTAAAGGTCRGCCGGCCGACCGTGGCGGCGATTGAGATATACCGATTCCGTTATTGTACCCCTTTATATTTATCTCAATATTGTCACGTTTCATTGCCAAAATATAATTTATTTTAATAAAATAATATAATATGAAATAATATGAATACATAGAAATTACAATAAAATATGAATACCAATAAAGTATAATAAAATATCAATACAAAAAAAAAATTATAATTAAATAAGAATATCAAAAAAATTATTGTAAATAAAAAATATTTTTATAATGGAGGCATTGAAATAAATATAATGGGGTATGATAACGAATCGGTATATCCTGACTGCCGACCGTTGGGGTATGATAACCGAAAAGTACCCAYAATTTAATAAAAATCCCTAAATATTCACCAGTATATAACATAATATAATCTACTAATAATCAAGTTTTCTATTTTCCACGGTCCACCAGTTACCGACAGTTTACTTATAACTTATATTTATATTATATAAATTATAAACCTTAGTTATATTAAATATATTTAAAACCTTTTACCTTATCAAATACTATGTTATAACAATGAGTTTAAAATTGTTCATATAAATGATTTGTTTCCTTGAAAATGTTGATGATAGGATATTTGAATGATTAAATTACTTTGATTACTTTACTTATATATTTTTATGCGTAATTCTTATGACTAATAATTTAGTATTACACTGGTTCACTTGTTGAGGGATTCAGATGTTAGAAATTTTGGATTTCTCCTCTTACAAGTTACCTATTATTTGTGTTGTACTTTTTACCGATAAAGCATACTTATAGTCTTATAGATAGCTTTTATGTGATTAATTTTTATGCATTATACTTAGATGGTTGACTATAGATTATTATATGTTCAAAGTTGAGAGCACAATAAACATTTTGCAACAACTAGATATAATTGGTCGAACAAGTGAACTTGCAAAATTATTTGGCATACAATTTTATGAAGTATTGTCGAGAGGTTCACAAGTAAGTAATTGTCCTTAAAATAACTCATGGTTTTTCTGAATATGTTAATAATTTTCAAGAAATTTTCCTTTGTAAAATAATTACAAAATTTTTCGCTTTAATGTCTTTATACAGTAACTTAATTTCCTACAAATTATATTTTATCCAGGACATTTAATTTTTATGATTTACAATTGAATATATTATTATTATAACTTTAAAGTATAAATATTTAACATTAATTTGTGGTATTTTCAGTTTAGAGTAGAATCAATGATGTTACGTTTAGCTAAAAATAAGAACTATGTTGCTGTTTCACCAAGTGTAAAACAAAGAGCTGAAATGAATGCAGCTCAAAGTGTACCGTTAATTATGGAACCAGAATCAAAGTATAAATGATTACATGCCATTTAATTTTTTTTTTAACTTTTCGGGAAATAGCGAAGCGATTCGATAGGGTTACACAGCAAGTAGCGCGGGAACGGCCAGTGAACCGTATTTCAGACGATCAATTGGTACAGGCGGCCTTCGGTTTTTAATTTTTTTTTTAACTTTTCGTTTATTAATATATGTGTATTTTTGGAATTATCAAGATTTTATACAGATCCGGTCATAGTATTAGATTTTCAAAGCTTATACCCTTCTATTATTATAGCTTATAACTACTGTTTTTCAACATGTTTAGGAAATATTGACCTTCTTGGAAAGTTAGTAAAACGTTTAATATTAAATTAAAATATATTTAGATTTTCCATATTTTTGGATTGTTTTTAAATTATATTTATTTCCATTTTTATATAAATATATATATAGAAAAGAAGTATTTAAGTTTGGCTGTACTAAGTTAAATGTACCTTTTCAAACCTTACTCAAATTAACTGATGATATAACAATTTCTCCTTCTGGAATTGCATTTGTTAAGAAAAATATCCGTAAAGGAATTCTACCATCCATGTTACAAGAAATATTAGACACCAGAATAATGGTAAACAATAATGATAAAAATTTGTGCTTGTTGTAATATGTATTTACTTACTTACTCTACACAATTTATTTAGGTGAAAAATTTGATGAAAGAACAAAAAAATAATAAACATCTATATAAAATATTAAATGCCCAACAACTTGGCTTAAAATTAATTGCCAATGTTACATATGGATATACTTCAGCAAATTTTTCTGGAAGAATGCCATGTATAGAGGTACTAATAAAGAAATAAAATGTTTTATTGTTTTAGTATTAAAAATGTTTTGGAAATTTAGGTTGGTGATAGTGTTGTAAGTAAAGGACGTGAAACTTTAGAAAGAGCAATAACTTTAATTCAGTCATCAAAAAAATGGAATGCTAAAGTTATCTATGGCGACACTGATTCTATATTTGTGTTATTACAAGGTCGATCAAAAGAAGACGCATTTAAAATTGGTAATGAAATGGCCAATATTGTTACTAAAGACAATCCCATTCCYATTAAGTTAAAATTTGAAAAAGTATACCTTCCCTGTATTTTACAAGTGAGTTTTCTTATCTTTTCAAGTACCAATAAATAGACAAATATTTTTTTGTTATTTATTTTGTGTAATAAAATGTAGACAAAAAAAAGATATTGTGGATATATGTATGAAAATAATGAACAAAAAAAACCCAAATATGAAGCTAAAGGCATTGAAACAGTGCGTCGTGATGGCTGTCCTGCAGTGTCAAAGGTATTTTTTATTTTTATAATAAAATAATTATAATATCATCAAAGCTWTAAACCTGATGTATTTATTTTCATCACTTTCATATAGCTCTTATTATTTCTTTAGATTTTAGAAAAAAGTTTATGTATTTTATTTGAAACAAAAGATATTGTAGCAGTAAAATGTTATATTGATAAACAGTTCAAAAAAATTTTTAAAGGCAATGTAAATGTTCAAGATTTTCTGTTTGCTAAAGAATATAGAGGGCGCAATAATTATAGRCCAGGTGCATGTGTACCTGCTTTAGAATTGGCTAAGTATATGTTTTAATTTATTTTAATAACTAATTAATGTCATATAACTGTAAAATATTTATAAATAATAAATATAAACTGTTGATTTTATCTAAGACAATGGACTGCAGTAGACAGACGTGCTGAACCACGAGTAAAAGAACGAGTTCCATATCTTATTGTAGCCGGACCAAAAGGTTTACCATTAATAAAACTTGTACGGTCACCAAGACATTTTATTTCAGACAAATCTTCTCGCATAAATGCAGAGTATTATATTACAAGAGCAATAATACCACCACTTCAAAGATGTTTTTCTTTGCTTAATGTAGACATAAACAAATGGTAATTATTACAGCAAACAAATCATTGATTGATGAAATTTTTTTTATTAATATACTTATTTCAGGTATTCCGAATTACCYCGTAAATATAATTTTCACTTTCCTGATATCACTACTACTACAAAAAATCGTAAACAAACACTATCTCAATATTTTTTTTCACAAAATTGTATTTTATGTAGTAAATTATCACAGTATGGTTTCTGTGATCAATGTCAACTAAATCCTCAGTATTTAATTGTACAGCTTAACCATTTATTATCAAAATGGACTAAAAAACAAGATGATTTAGAAACGGTAAAAATAATAGTTAATAAGGTATAAAAAAAAATATTCAAACAATGTTTCATATTTTATGTTTAAGCAGATCTGTCGATCTTGTTGTGGAAGGAACTTTGAGTTGAAGTGCAACTCTTTAAACTGTCAGGTGTATTATAGTTCTCAACAAGCAGCAAAAGATATGCAACAGTATTCCTACATTAATAACATAAGGCAAAATTTGAGTTTATAGAATTTTTTAAATACTGTTCTAATTTTATATATTTATAATTGATGTTTTAAAWAATTACATAGTGCATTTAATTATACATATATGTGTTAAGTATGGTTTTAAGTTGTGTCACACACAATTTTTTTGTATTTGCCTGATGTTCTGCAGCCGTCAGATAATATTAATTAAAATGCCAAAACGTTTGGTTTATGTTTATATTCCTAGGTATTAAAAAAATACTCGACCGTTCTGACAGAAATCGATTCAGAATAGTAATTATTACAGATGTTACAAACCATAATATTTAAGGTCGAACCGAACCGAACTCTTCAAATACTTTATCGAACTAGAACTGAACATTAAAAGTTAAATTGGATATTATTTWATTTAATATTTATCTATCATTTAGCCACCATACCTTAAAATTATTGAATAAAGATTTTCATCTATTTACTTAAATACTTTTTAATATCTAGTTAATAATTATTATGCATGAGATTTTTAATTTTTTAATTTTTAATTAAGTATTCACTGATAAGAAAAAGCGAAAAACATCAATATTTAAAACAAGCAAACATTAAACAACTAATATATATTAATCTATTAATTATTAATTATTAAATAATAATTTATAATTTTAACCGTTACTCCATCGACTTTTATTTTTATTTCTCTGGTTCGATTATGGAACGGAACTATTAGATATTTGGTTCGGTTCGATTATTTGGAATTTTCAGTTCGGTTTTCGAACCGACTCGAACACTCAGAGTTCGGTTCGGTTCAGTTCGAAAATCGAACAGTTCGTCAGTAAATGTTATATAGTAAGCTAAATCGTAACATCTCTAGTAATTATCTTTATTATCTAAAGCAAAACCGAAATGATAGATATTATTCGGTTATAGGTTATAGTGTGGTTAAAGGTAGTGCAGATATTATTARTTGGCGGTTACCTACATATTATATTTAAATGACAATAGAGACATATTATAGCACATATATAGACATATAACACGTTTTTGACATTGCGCATGCGCTGAACGTTTGCAACCACTTGCAACACTGTGCTGGAAGAAACCTAATATATGCAAATCGTCAGTTTTTGACAGGTTGGCATCACATRTTGTGCAGTCATATTAATTGGGATCCCGGATGGATCATAAACTCGTAAGTATACATATTTGAATAGAAACAACGGGTATCGCCTATCATTATACAATAAAAAAGAAACAGTGTGTACTGTGTATTGCTTCAGTGACGGGTATTATCATTTACCAAGGGGGGGAGCTAATTAGGCTCAAAAATTTACGTAGTTGTATTTTAAATCTATATAACATTTTAATTAACACAATATTATGTATTTCAATTTTTTTTTATTATGTATTTGTTTCACAATATTGCTATCAATTTTCATCTGAAACCATTTATAAAAGTAATTAGGTATTTTAAAGAAATAACTAAAATTAACTGTTTATTTGAAAAATATATTTATATTATTTTATTAATTCCAAGTTTCTTTCTTTAACTTTTGAAAATCGTTCGATATTATTATCTGTTGAGACTATTATTCTTCAATGAAGATACCTATTTTATAATAATCATTGATAATTGTATCATAATACTTGTCATAGAAAAATAAATAGCTTAGTCCCAAGTGGAGCTAATGCCCCCCATAGCCCCTCTTTTAAACCCAATTGTATGACTTACAGAGTCAATGTATGACTTTGGAGAATGATTTTAACTGTTCGGGTGCGATAAAAGGTTTGGATAATAGATTGAATCAATCATTTTATGATGGATTATGTACTTGCTATTATTAATATGAAAATTACAACCGTATACCTACCTATATACGGTACCTATGTGGCTATGTCCTATTCGTTTGTAGGTATACTTATAGTTGTATGTATTCAAAATAAAAACTATCACATATTAGAACTAGTGTTTTTGTGTTTTTTTTCTTAATTAGGATTACAAGAATACTGTTAATATCGCCGAGCTATAGAATTAAAACCACTCAATCGTTTCAACTAGGTACCACTGTCCAGTGTCCACTCCAATCCAAAAAAATAAATAAATAAATATTCGTAGCCCGTTATGGTACGTTTAATTATTCGTAAGTTGATGCTTTGATGGCCTAAAACGTCTGTTTACACTTTACAGAATGTAAAAGAAACATATATATAACAATAGTAAGTACCTAAGTATAAACAAACACTGAAAATAGTGTGCCTGCCTTTTTTCATCGACAAGGTCAGTGGTTAGACTATATATACCTACTATTTACTAATATGTTACTATGTTAGGTTGTGCCAGATACCTGTCCCACTATTAAAGCTTAATAGTAAATAGTTATTTAATATATATAGGTAGATAATGATTTGTATTAGCGGGGTACATAATATCATGTACTATAGCTGGTATGTAGGTTGTAATCCCTAATTGTTATTGTCTATTTTCACAGAACTTTGATTAGTCTTATTAGGTTAATTTTATACATGTATAATACGCCTATCTATCTGCTTATTATACCCAATAATTTCTTGAAATGTGGCTCGTTCAGTCGTTTTGGAAACTGTGCGGGGTGTTCAATACAGATCTGACTTACAATAAATTCCAAAATGTGTATTCATTACTCTTAATTTTTACGTGCGTTTACAATTTTATCACCGCGTCGAATACTGTATGCAAATTAGAACAGTGGTGTAACATTTTCTCGATGGCCATGATCGAAATGTACACTAGGGTGTTGGCATCAATCATTCTTCTGTCGAGGATAGCAATAATGATTCAATCAAAACAAAGTTTACTCAAGTACAAGGAAACTATAAAGGCTTTCGAAATGTATTCACCGACGTCATCTGCGCAACATAAAAACTACAAATTATTTTCATTCACCGTCGTTTTCGTGTGCCTAAGTATAATTTTACCCTTAAACATAAGCCGGTTGTATTATCTGTACCGAAGCAAGACYCACGACATATCGTTGTTCATTTACTATCTGTTCATATATATTCAAAATCTGAGCATGTGTTGCATAGAAACTCAATTTGTCTCCCAATGTTTTTTAATCTACACCAGATTCCGAGGAATTAACGATGATTTGAAAAAWATACGTAATGAAAACGTCAACTATGTTAAATACCCGTTTATAATGGGATCTTCAGCAACAATGTGGAAAGATTACAAAAAATCGTTCCAGTGCGTAAGATAYGACAAAGACTTTTATCGACCTCGGCTTATTAGCCACCCAATGTCCAACTCTGTGGAGATACTTAGAATTAAGCATTGGCTAACTCGCCAAGCCGTGGACATCCTCAATAACCTGTTGGGTATCCAAATGGGACTGTCGGTGTTCTTATTGTGGGTAATGGCCGTGTTTGATATCTATTATGAGATATTTTACAACTCTCCATCTAAATTATTAGTTTACGGTTGGTTGTTACAATACACTCTGAGATTGTTCATGATTACCTTAGTAGCACACTACACAACAAAACAGGTATAGATAATAACTAATAAGAACTATATAAATTAAAGTWATAACTAATAGAAAAAAAATTGTATAAAATATATATACCTATATAACTGTATAAGACATAAGATAGGTTGACTGCCAGTGATGGCGGCGCGAGGTAAAATTTATATGTGGACGAAGTAGACTTAAAGAGGCCCTTTTTTTAATTTTTTTAGTAAACAAAATTTTTGTATAGATACTTCTCCCATATTTTTCTATGGTTAATTATAAATAAATCCCTTTGGAACGCGAGGCGCTTTTAGGTGCGAGGCCGTGGGCAATGGCCCACTTCACCCATGCCTAGCGCCGCCACTGGACACTGCGTTTCGTAGCTGATCGTTATTTATGAGTTTGAGATTCTAAATAGAAAAATATTAGCAATATTTACTATCAAAGATTTTAATGTTAAAATAACAGAAGCGCAGCCATTCTGCGAAACCTTTTATTAGTACCTACACATCTTTATCCTTTATTTTGTGCTTAAACTGCTTAAGCCTTAAAGACAATCATTCATAATACTTTATAACTAACTTTACTTCTTCCGAAAATATGGCAATACGTAGCTGTATATCTTAACAGTTATCTATTTTATGCGTTTTGCAATACCTATTTCGCATTTTAGACTGATGTTAATTTCATTCCTAATATTTTAGAAAAATATTACTATACATACAATGTTTACATTTATTTTAGGCATTAAAATCAAAATCAATCATTTTAGATACAAATAATCAAATGTTGGATAATAGTACAAAGGAAGAGGTAAAATACTCATAATATGACTAAATCTTATAATCATAATATAACATTATAATTTATAATAATATCCCATCTTTAATCAAATATATTGTACTTACTGTTTTCACTAATTTACATGATTTAGTTGTTGCTGTTTGTGAATCAAATACGTCACCAATCTATCGAATTTACTGCGTAYGATTTTTTCACATTGAATACACAGATTATAAAATCAGTAAGTATAAATATATTATAAATAAAGTTATTATATCTAGGTGATTAGGTGCATACCTATATATAATAACAAATAGGTTATTTGTTACGCTTTCCATCAAATTGTTAGCTTTGTTAATAGTACCTAGTGATAAAATAGTTTCAGTAGTTTATAGATTAAAAATTATTTGTTAATTTTTTTATAAATTTTCTCAATTATATAGTTGCTTTTAACCATAGGCATACCCTATCTTATTTAAATAGGTTTCGGAAGCAAAATTAAAGTCCTGGTCTAATTATTATATATTATAATTTCTTAACCGTTGCTATATTCATTGGTCAGGGAAATTTGATCTTATTATTGTTTTTGCCTCTAGATGAAAACCGTTTGCTAAACACGTGATATAATATAAAACCAAATTGGAGCATATTATATATTTTGTCTAATTGATGTTAGAGTTTCCTCATGAATTACTAAGGTAAATTTTTTTTCATATTGTACTTTCGTTTGGAATCGTCTTACTAATATATTGTTCTGAAAATTACTTTAATGCTGGATATTTTAGTTTAAGAATCGGAATGTCAATGAATATTATATCATTGTATACGAAAAACGATTCTGAGCGGAGACGGTTTATCTGTCTAGGATATATTATAGATTATTAAAATTTTTCAAATCTTAGATTTAAAAAGAAAATTTGTATGAATTTCTAGTTTAAAATAATTTGCGAATTTTCGTGATTTT